CTTGTATCTCTGACTGGCTTATTTCACTTAGCATGATACTCTCCAGGTCCCTCCATGCTGTCTAAAAGGGTAAGAGATACTTCTTTTTTTACAGCTGCATAGGATTCCATAGTGTAAATGTGCCACAGCTTTTTTATCCACTCGTCTACTAATGGGCACTTGGGCTATTAACAGATCTTAGCAATTGTAAATTGTGCTGCTATGAACATAGAGGTGCATATATTCTTTCCTATTGGTGTTTCTGGTTTCTTTGGATATATTCCCAGAAATGGGATCACTGGGTCAAATGGGAGCTCCATTTTTAATTTTTTGAGGAAACTCCATACTGTTTTGACAGTGGCTGCACCAGTCTGCATTCCCACCAGCAGTGCACAAGCGTTCCCTTTTCTCCACATCCTTGTTGATTGTAGATGATAACCATTCTGACAGGTGTGAAGTGATACCTCATTGTCATGTCATTTTAATTTGCATCCCTCAGATGATCAGTAACTCTGAGCATTTTTCATATGTCTCTTGTCCTTTTGTATGTCCACTTTGGAGAAGTGTCTATTTAGGTCCTTTGCCCATTCTTAAATTGGATTGTTTGTCTTCCTTTTGTTAAGTTATATGAGTTCCTTATATATTTTGAAAATTAACCCCTTATCAGATGTATCATTGGCAAATATGTTTTCATACAGTGGGCTCTCTTTTTATTTTGTTGATGGCTTCTTTTGCTGCACAGAAGCTTTTTATTTTGACGTAGTCCATTTATTTCTTCTCTAGTTTCCTTTGCCTTAGGAGATGTATCGGTAAACATATTGCTATGAGAGGTGTCTGAGATTTTTTAAAAAATATATTTTCATTGATTTCAGAAAGGAAGGGAGAGAGAAAGAGAGATAGAAACATCAATGATGAGAGATAATCATTGATTGGCTGCCTTCTGCACGCCTCCTGGGGATTGAGCCTGCAACCGGGCATGTGCCCTGACCAGGTATTGAACTGCTGGTTCACAGGTCAGTGCTCAAGCACTGAGCCACACTAGGTGGGCAGATGTCTGTGATATTGCACCTTATGGTTTCTTCTAAGATTTTTATGGTTTCACAACTTAGATTTAAGTCTTTTATCCATTTTTACTTTATTCTTTTGTATGGTGTAAGTTAGTGGTCTAGTTTCTTTTTTTTTTTTATGTACCTGTTCAATTTTCCCAATATCATTTATTGAAGAGACTGTCTTTACTCCATTGTATGCTCTTGCCTCCCTTTTCAAATATTAATCGAGCATAATGGCTTGGGTCAGTTTCTTGGTTCTCTGTACAATTCCATTGATCTATATGTCTGTTCTTGTGCCAGTACTAGGTTGTTTTGAGTACAGTGGTTTTGTAGTATATAACTTGATATCTGGTATTGTGATTCCTCCAACTTTGTCTCTTTTTTATCAAGATTGCTGCAGCTATTTGGATCTTTTTTGGTTCCATATAAATTTTTGGAGTGTTTATTTCTAGATCCATGAAATATGCCTTTAGTAGTATTTTAGTAGGGATAGCATTGAATCTATAGATTGCTTTGAATAGCATGGACGTTTTAATGATGTTTATTCTTCTAATCCATGAACATGGTATAGTCTTCCATTTGTTTATATCTTCCTCTATCTCTTTTGTCAACGTCCTGTAGTTTTCCAAGTACAGGTCTTTTACCTCCTTGGTTAAGTTTATTCCTAAGCATCTTAATTTTTTTGTTGCAGTGGTAAAGGGGTTTTGTTTTGGTTTTATGGGTTTTTTTTTTTTTTTAGTTTCTCTTTTTGAGAGTTAGTTATTGGTGTATAAAAATGCCATCTATTTCTGGGTGTTAATTTAGTATCTTGCTATGTTGCCTTATTCATTTATTAAATCCAGTAGTTTTTGGTGGAGTCTTTAGGGTTTTCTATGTACATCATGTCATCTGTGAATAATGACAGTTTTACTTCTTCCTTTCCAATTTGGATGCCTTTTATTTCTTCTTCTTGTCTGATCATTATGGCTAGGACTTCCAGTGCTATGTTGAGTAAGAGTGATGAAAGTGGACATCCTGTCTTGTTCCTGTTCTTAGGGAAAATGGTTTTAGTTTTTGCCCATTGAGTATGATGTTTGCTGTAGGTTTGTCGTATATGGCCTTTATTATGTTGAGGTTTGATCCCTCTATTGCCACTTTGCTGAGAGTTTTTATCAAAAAAGGGTGTTGGATTTTGCTGAATATTTTTTCTGCATCAATTGACATGACCATGTGATTTTTGTCTTCCAATCTGTTTATATGATGTATTACAGTTATTGCTTTGGAAATATTGTACCAGCCTTGCATTCCCAGAATAAATCCCATTTGGTCATGGTATATGATCTTTTTAATGTGTTTCTGGATCCAATTTGCTAGAATTCTGTTGAGGATTTTAGCATCTATGTTCATCAGGGATATTGGCCTGTAACTCTCTTTCTTTGTAGTGTCTTATTTGGAATTAGGCTAATGCTAGCCTTGTAAAAAGAGCTTGAAAATGTTCTTTCCTCTTGAATTTTTTTTTTTTTTGAATAGTTTGAGGAGGATAGGTGTTAAGTCTTCTTTGAATGTTTGGTAAAATTCCCCTGTGAAGGTGTCCAAACCAGGGCTTTTGTTTGCTGGGAGTTTTTTGATTAATGCTTCAATTTCTTCAGTAGTTATCAGCCTATTTAGGCTTTCTTATTCTTCCTGGTTGATTGTATTTTTCTAGGAATATGTCTGTTTTGTCCAGGTTGTCAAGTTTGTTGGAATATAGTTGTTCATAGTATTTTTTTATGATTCTTTATATTTCTGTGGGGTAAATTGTTACTTCACCTCTTTCATTTCTCATTTTGTTTATTTGAGTCCTCTGTTTCTTCATGAGTCTGTCTAAAGGTTCATCAATCTTGTCATCTTTTCAAAGAAACATCTCTTGGTTTTATTGGTCTTTTGTGTTTTCTTTTTAGTCTCTATGTTATTTATTTCTGCTCTGATCTTTATTATGTCATTCCTTCTACTTACTCTGGGCTTTTCTTGTTGTTCTGATTAAGTTGTAGGATTAGATTGTTTATTTCAGCTTTTTCTCATTTCTAGAGGTAGGCCTGTAATGCTATGAACTTCCCTCTCAGGACTGCTTTCACTGTGTCCCATAGATTTGGCATTGTTGTGTGTTCATTTTCCTTTGTTTACAGGAAGTTTTTTTATTTCTTCCTTGATCTCTTTGGTAATCCATTCATTGTTTAATAACATGCTATTTATCCTCCATGTGTTTAAATATTTTTGAGTGTTTTTACTGTGGTTGATTGCTAATTTCATTCCACTGTGATCTGAGAAGATGCTTGATACGATTTCAATCTTCTTGAACTTGTAGAGAGTTAGTTTGTATCCTAACATGTTATCTATCTTTGAAAATGTCCCATGTGGACTTGAGAAGAATGTGTATCTGTAGCTGTCAACTAATTCCATCTAATCTATTTTGTTGTTTAAGGTCACTGTTTCCTTGCTGATTTTTTGTCTAGAAGATCTCTCCAGTGATGTCAGTGAGGTGTGAAAGTCCCTTATTGTGACTGTATTACTGTCGATCTCTCCCTTAAAATCCTGCAGAAGTTTTTTTTTTATTATATATTTGGATGCTCCTGTATTGGGTGCATATATGTTTACCAGAGTTATATCCTTTGGTTGTATCAATCCCTTTAGTATTATGAGGTGACCTCCATTGTCTCCTGTTTTGGCCTTCACTTGGAAGTCTATTTTGTCAGATATGAGTACTGCCACCCCAAATTTTTTTTTTCATTTCCATTTGTCTGGAAAATTTCTTGCCGTACTTTCACTATCATTCTGTGTGAGTGTTTTGTTCTGAGGTGTTCTCTTGTAGACAGCATATATATGGGTCATGTTTTCTTATTAATTCAGCTACCCTATATCTTTAGATTGGCACATTTAAGCCATTTACATTTAAGGATATTATTGATAGGTACTTATTTGTTGCCATTCTTTGTATTTATGCCTCTGTTCTTCTCTTTCTATCTATTTCTTCGTCTTTCAACAGTCCTTTTAGCATTTCTTGCAGTGCTTGGTGTTTTGTTGTGTGTGTGTGGGGAGGGGGGTTGTTTGTATTTTTGTGTTTTTCTTGTCTGTGAAGCTTTTTATTTCACCTTCAATTTTGAATGATAGCCTTGCTGGATAGAGTAGTCTTAGGTTCAGTCCCTTGGTTTTCATTACTTGATATACTTCCTCCCTTCTGGCCTGAAGTATTTCTATTGAGAAATTAGCTGACAGTCTAATGGGAACTTCCTTGTAGGTAACTTTCTGTCTCTCTCTTGCAGCCTTTCAGATTCTTTCTTTATCTTTAATGTTTGACAATTTAATTATTATGTGTCTAGGTGTGGGTCTTGGGTTCATCATGATTGGGACTCTCTATGTTTCCTAAACTTGAGTGCCTTTTCCTTCACCAGGTTAGGGAAATTTTCTGCCATTATTTCTTCAAACAAGTTCTCTATTCCTTTCTCAGATTCTTCTCCTTCTGCTGCCTGTTTGATGTGAATGTTATTACATTTCATGTTGTCCCAAAGCTCCCTTAGACTCTCCTCCTGCTATTTAATTTTTTTTCACATTTGCTGCTCTGAATGGGTGTTTTTTCTATCTTGTCTTCTAATTTGCTGAATCAGTCCTCAGCTTCTTCTAATCTGTTGAATCCTTCCAGGGTGTTCTTTATTTCAGCTATGTCATTTCTCATTTCCAATTGATTCTTATTTATTTTTTCAACTCTCTTTTCATGTTGGTGTAGCTCTCATTATATTAGTCCCTTATAATGCTCATTAAGTTTCACTGAGTTTTTTTTTTCTTTCTTTTTTTTTTCTAATATATTTTATTGATTTTTTACAGAGAGGAAGGGAGAGAGATAGAGAGTTAGAAACATCAATGAGAGAGAAACATCGATCAGCTGCCTCCTGCACATCTCCTACTGGGGATGTGCCCGCAACCCAGGTACATGCCCTTGACCGGAATTGAACCTGGGACCTTTCAGTCCGTAGGCCGACGCTCTATCCATTGAGCCAAACCGGTTTCGGCTCACTGAGTTTTTTGAGCACCTTTATTACCATTATTTTGAATTCTTTGTCTGACAAATTGCTTGCCTCCATTTCATTTAGTTCCTTTTCTAGCAATTCATCCTTTTTCATTTGTGGGTTGTTTCTTAGTCTCCCCATTTTTGCTATCCCTTTGTATTTGTTTTTATGTATTAGGTCAAACTGCTATGCCTCCCAGACTTTGTGCGTTGCTCTTATGTAGTAGGGGTTTTGTGGGACCTAGAGGTGTAGTTTCTTAGATCTGAGCTGGGTGCTCTAGGAAAGCCCCTTGCTTGAGTTATTTGGGTGCTCCTGTTGTAGTTGGGTCTTGAATGTTATTGTCCTGTTTATGTATGGAATCTCCTCTCAGGCTGGTGGACTATGTGGCTCACCCCGGAACTGACCACAAGCTGTTGTGGAGGTGTGTTGGGGTCCAACCCCAGCGGGTCCAGGGGTCCCCAAAGGTGTGGACGGAGTCGGCGATGAAGGAAGGACACAGAGACAGCATTCAGTTGATCATCATAGCCAGGTTCTGTCCAGGATCTCTTGCCATGTTCTGTCTAGGTTCTCCAGCCAAGTTCTGTCACCAGGTTCTGTAGCCAGGTTCTAACAGGTTCTATCCAGGTTCTCCTGCCATGTTCTGTCTAGGTTCTCCAGCCAAGTTCTGTAGCCAGGTTCTGTCCAGGATCTTTTGCCATGTTCTCTCCCTAGGTTCTATCCCTAGGTTCTGTCCCTAGGTTCTGTCCCTATTCTCTAGGTTCTGTGTCTCTCTAGGTTCTTCAGCCAGGTTCTCTAGCTAGGTTCTGTTTCTGGGTTCTGTGTAGGATCTCCAGCCAAGTCCTGTCTCTAGGTTCTGTCTCTAGCTTCTGTGTAGGATCTCCAGCCAAGTCCTGTCTCTAGGTTCTGTCTTCTGTTGTCTTGTTATATCTGTATTTATACCAGTTGATTCCAATCCTATCAACTTCTATTCCAAAGGTTAGGGTGTTTCTTATCTCCATTCCAGGGAGTAAAGATTATGTAGCTTAAGCGTGATTGTTTGTAGTTAAAGTGATTAACTACCCACCTGGGACTTAGTTAAGGGGTTTTATCTCCTCCCTAACTTCAGGGAAAAATCCCTACCTGGGGAAACAACCTTTCTCGGAGAGGTGACCTTGGTTAAAACACATAGCCCCAAGAAGGTGAGCAAACGTATTAAGAACAGTATGCCATATATGCCAGGTCCCTTGAAACAGCAAGGATGGACTGGCTCCCGGCAGAGGTGCTGACTAAACAGAACAAAATACAATAGCAAAACACAAAACAAAAGAAACAAAACAAAAATATGCACAAGATCCCTACAGCACCAATGAAAGCAACCACCAGAGAAGAGATAATTAGGAAAGAAAAAGCAAGAGCAGGAATGACAGAAGAAAAGAAAGAAAGAACAAATAAGAGAAAACAAAACAAACAAAAACACACACAAAAGGGGGGGAGGGGAGAAAAAGGAATATGTAGGTGCAGAGCTGACATAAAATAAGAATACTGGGTTAGGGGAATAAGGAGAGGAAAACAGTTTAAAGTAAAGGAGGAAGAAAAGAAAAGAAGAAAAAAGGAAAGGAAAATAGAGGAGAAAGCAAATAAACCCAACATAAGAAAAGGAAAAAAGATGAGAAACCAGGTGGAAAAGAAAAGAAAGAAAACATTTTGAGTAGGAAAAGGGAAGAGGAAAGTTACATATATGAACAGAACAATAGAGTCTAGAATAATAACAAGTCAATAAAGAAGATAAGTAAAAAAGATACATTTTTTAAAAAGTAAAAAAGAGAAAGAAAAAAGGGGAAGAAAAAGAAAAAATAAAGAAGAAAGTGAAGTGGCATTCCTTTCAGCAGAGTTTAGTGCCCCATGGGAGCTTCCTTTGGATCCTGCTCTTCTGATGACTGGCTGACTGCTCTGTCTGCCAATTCTGGGCTTCCTGTGAGGTACGTGGGTGCTAACCACTGTCAGAAACTGTCATCATTTGGCTTTCAGCGATCTTCAGTTTGTGTCTTTCTCCATAGGACTTGGCTGCATGTGGGAGAGGCCAAGCTCCCCTGTAAAGCAGCTTTGTTAGCAGCATGGGGTCCAGGGCTGGGTCAGCAAACTTCTCCAGGTTCTCTGGGATCCACCTCTGCCCACCTTTGCCTGCTGGCCAGCTGTCAATCTTAATCATTCAAAAGTCTGTTTCTGAAAGGTCTTTAGGTGGAATTGGGAGTATAGATATCTGGGTCTCCTGTGATGGGGAGGTACTGTTCAGATTTCAGGGATTGTAGTGTGTGTGTCCCTGTTCCAGAGCTGCTACTCTGCAAGTTGCCCAAAATATTAGTTTGCCCTGGGCTGGGTGGAGATCCTCGTATGCAGTCAGTGGGGTCAGCTGGAAACCTGGAGTTTCTATCAGCTCTCCTGTGAGGGAAAAGTACCAGTCAGGATTCTGGAATAGTGGGGTGTACAGCCCCTCCCCCAATCCAATCACAGGTGCTCCCAGAGACTATTCAACCCATAGGCTTGGCCTCTGCTTTTGTTTCTTCTGAAAAGGTAAAAATGCAGGGTGTGGTAGGCAGGGCTCCTGAGGGTGGGGCAGGCTGTAGCATGTAGGGTGGGTTTTTTCTTTTCCTGCCCTGCTGGCTACTGGGAGCAGCTAGTTCCTCTCAGGAAAAATGGCCGATTAGGTTTGACCACATGCATGACTTCTGGCTGCTGCTTTTCCACGTCTCCCTGCAATACTTCCCACCCCAGCCTCTCCTTAGGCACTTTGTCCACACCGCCCTCCCTGCATCAAAGCCTCAGGTGAGCGAGTAGCTGCAAATAAAAACTCCTGCGCTCTGGGTTTAAAAAAAAAGAAAAGAAAACGAAACAGGCTTTCTCTCCCACCAGCTCCGGTCGGTCAGCTCCAGACTCTGGCAGCCAGCAGCTCTGCTGCCTTTCGCACTGGATGTTTCATTGGCGACCTGTCTCGGCTCTGGTTCTGAGCCTGGGTTCTAGGCCTCTATCTTCTGAAGGAACAGACCCTCCTATAGCCAAGAGCTTCCTCCTCACTCTCGGTCTGCCACCCCTGGAAGTGGGTCAGCTCCTCTTACAACCTCACCCTTCCTTCCAGTCTCCAAGTGTTTTCTGTCCTTCCTTGATATAAGTCTCCTCCTCAGTTGGACCTCAGCTGGTAATTCTGGGTGTATGTTCCCTGCTTTAGTTTTATTTCCAGTGTTAACATAAAAACCATTGAAACCTGTAAATAATTTCTGTGAGTTTATTTGAGCCAAACTGTCGACATATGCCAGGAAGCAGAACTTCAACGAATTGAGATAATGCTCCGGAGATTGGCAGGTTACATTTGTATTTATATGTTGCAATCAAAGGAGGGACGTAGGTGGGTTACATAAAATCCATTGGTGATAGACTAGAGAGGCAGGAGAAAGCAAAGCG